ACGTTCCAATCCCAAGTGTCTGACTCGTCCCTTTCTCATGGAAGATCACCAGAGGAATATCAAAAGAAATAATGCATTTTAACTGGAGAATAATGACACTAATGGATAAAAGGCTTACTCGAAAAGAAGGAGCATGAAAAGTATTGGATGAAGTCACATGATTGGTACATCTCACTATACCCTTACTAACTAAAGGTTGTGTTGTATCATCAGCGATCTGTATACTCTCTGATATTATATGAAGAGAACTCTTCTACAATATCTGTCACGTGAAGAGAAATATTAGAATCTATAATCCATTCTAATGATTCTGTGGTGGAAATAGAGGCGAGAGAAAGTGTGTCACCAATACCTTTGCTGAAGTGAGCATAAGTGACAATGTTACCCCTTGATACCAATAAATTTGAAACATTCTCAGTTCCATCTCTTGATGCTTTATGCTTCCTCCTCAACAGCTCTAGACACTCATGATCCTCATCACTAAAGATCACACTCGTCTCTCCCTCATTGTCTTCTACCATTAGATTTGCTCGATAGCCCCTTCTTCCACCTTTCCAACCCCTATGACCACAACCACGACCATGACCACGACCTTCAACTTATCCATGTCTACCTGTCTCTCTCCTTAAATGGCTTCGGGCAGAACCTGCTCAGATGACCAACTTCACCACAGTTGTAGCACTTTCAAGTCTCTCCCTGAACATCTAGCGTACCTGGGCTCGCAACAACCAATGCTGATCGTGCACCCAAAAAACCACCCGACTCAGAGTGTAGCTTCATGCAACTCTCCTCCTGTATCATCACAACAATGGCTTCATCTAGTGTAGGAATATTTGCCTGAGCTAGGAGGACAAATCTTCTCTGATCAAAGACCTGATTCAAATGAGCTAGAAACTGCATTGTCCTCATTTGTGTAAAAATTTCTCATTTCTCGCACTCTCGATCGCTATAGCTCGACATGGAAGGGAAGTAATCAAGATCTGCCCACAACCTCTCCAAATCTATGAAGTATTCCTGAATTGATTTCTCATCCCATATCACAACTTCTATTCATACGACAGCTTCTATCTCGTGTTGAATATGGAATACCCTCATGTGGTTCACAGTCACAACATAAATCTTCTTCAGTTTTGCTCAAATGTCCCTCAGCTTTCAAATGTCATCTACTGAGAACGCAATTGACGGAGCCATTAAGTTGAGCTACTAGTTGTAAACTAAGGCGTGAGTGGTCCTCCACTTATCCCTCTCAGCACTATCACTCTATAGTTCAACTTCGGTAAGATATCCCTGTAGTCTCTTCCCTACTAGAGCCACCTCAATCTTATGTGATTAGGTTAGATAATTGGCCAGTCCATCAAACTTCAAATCTACAGAATGGAGATCCAACTTCACATGCGTCGAAGCCTGTGCTGAATTCGCGGTTCCTATCAAGGCACTAGCTCCCTGTATGAGCCCTACCAAGACCTTCAGGACCTCAAGATCAATCCTTTCCAGAAGATCCAATCCTTTACTCCCCGCACTATCTCCATCTTCCGTCATCTTCAATCACCCGGTCTCCTTTCTAAGTCATACACACCACAAACAATTCCCTTCATCCTTTAGGCCCGATTTTGATCTATCTCATCATCAAGATTGGGATCCTCTTCATATCATTCCCCTCCTCGGGATCTGTGGGGTATCACCTCCCCACACGACCCCTTTCAATCGGTGGACACAATCTCTTCATTTGGCGGTCGGACTATGGGAGGTGCGGCGACGGCGACTTGGAAAGGAGGATGTGGTGGCGTTCTGGACAGGCGGCGGCAGCGGCCTGGAGGGCGGCTAGGAACGGGACGCTGAACGCCAGTGCGTCTCCTGCACGAAACGCAGGTGCGTCTCCTGCACGGGTTGCGGGACACGACGCATGTATGCCTCCTGCATAGGATGCAGGTAGAAGAGAGAGGATGTGGGTAGAAGAGAGAGGTAGAGAATACTAAGATTTGACTCTGTTACCAAATTGAAAGAAAATAAGTCAAAACTTATTATTTCATAACATATTTGTTTAAATAGGGTTTACAATGTTTAACAAATAACACCCAATTAAACCTTATTATTACACACAACTCTCAACATAGCTCTATTGGATGTTAATTTTCCTATAACTACGATACTTTAACAATTATTATTAAAAATTTTCTTCATGAGACAAGCTTTTAAAAGAAATCGGGAGAGGTCATCAAATTAATCTGTGACAGCTGTTTGGAAGGCAAAATTGTAAAAAAGTTACTTTAAATGGTTCGTTAAAAAAAACTAAGATGGCTATTTTTTTAAGCTTTTTATAGTATTGAATTTTTCTATCCTAGTTTTATTCTAAATATCCTAAAGTTATTATTGTTGTTCAAGGAAGCAAACGGCAGTAATAGAAATCAGTTTCAAATGATATTTAGGAGGCTAATAGGGAGGCTTAAAGGGGAGAGAGAGTTTGACTGTTAAGAATATTTTTTATTACCAAAAAAATTAATAATATGTTGCAGTTAAAGGAAGTGAGATGATGATCCGTTCATTGTAATATCAAGATATTTGTAGGTAATTTCTTAGCTTTATCAGAAAATGGCTGGTTGTGTTGGACATGTTGATGACAGTGAAGTGCTAGTAATAGTACCCATATTGATCTCATGAGTGTTACGGTAAAAAATATCATAAATATCCTGAAGATGAGTGGTAATGGTAAAATATTACAAATATTGAAGGGGTGCCCTATGATGATGACCACTAAAACTTTGTTTAATAAATCACCCTTTTTCCAATTAGAAGTTTGCTCCACAAAAAACCTTCTTGGCTAAAAATGATTTAACTTCAAGCACTTCAAGCACTTCAAGTACTTCAAGCACTTCAAGCGCATCTTGACATTGTATCTGATGAATCGTTAAGTAGCCTTTTGTGCATTCGATGTTTTATCTATTTGTCATATTTTAGAGAAAAACTTGAGATGTAGAATTTAAGTTTCAAATTCTACCCAAGTGTAACTCGGTATTTCAAATTTTCAGATAAGTGTGAGAATATCAAGTGAATGTGATATCAAATTAGTAAGGGGAAAGATGAAATTGAAAATAATATAATCGAAAAATGACAGTGGGAGTACTATTATTGAGGATAAATTGTGGAATGCATTTAAACAATTTGGGCTTATTCGGTGAAAAGGCTAAAGCTATAAGATATATCAGTAAGATTGTATGGAGTTTGTATGAAGGAATACTGAGAAAAATAAGTATACCAAGTTAATGTGATTTACAGTTGCAAAAAAAAGTCTTGTGCGAGATATAAGTAACACCTCATTTCCTATTTTATAGGATGGAATGAAGATGGATGATTTATAAAATCTACCTTAATTAGAAAAATGCTGGGATGATAATGATGAATTCAAACTCAGCTTATATGAAATAAATTCAAACTTCAGGAAGGTCTTATACGGCCCAATCTAACACCTTATTGTTAGAGCATGGGAATGCCATAATGGCAATTCACAAAGCCATTTTTCTTGCCAACTTTATTATGCCCCTGCACAGAGACTTTTGACATCTTTGGAGAAAATGGAAGAGTTATGTTTATATAGGCTTTTGTGTTCTATTTACTGCATAATGATTGAAAGAGGAAGCATTCTTTTCAATGTGATGCTTAATAATTCCACTCATATGGGCTCATATATTTTTATATTACAAGGATTGTGATGATAGACTTTATTAAAAGTAGGCAAGTGAAAAATAAATTTTTGATGGTTTGGACATGTACAAAGCCGAAAATGTGTTAATAAGATGCTTATATAAAATAATATTAAAGGGTTAGGAAGATAATGTGGTAGATTTAAAGGTAAATAGGTAATATTGATATAGCTTGTTTGAAAAGATATTTACATAATGGATTTAACACCTTTTGCAACACTCGTCAAATATAAATGGAGAATGTAAATTTATAAAGCCGGTCTTACTAACCTAAAATATTTGGGATATGATAGATGTGATATGATTCTCCTTGGAAATAAGGACAAAATAAATTATTTTTTCTTCAAAAGCACCAACAAGACAATACAAATACATAAAGATAAGCACATACAATTCTAGAGGTAGGTGATCTCTCCCAAATCCTACAATTTGAGAGAGAGGAATTCTATCCGAAACCCTAAACCTAAGACTTACAACAATAATCTCATGTCTAGCCTTAACCCTAAACAGATTAGTCCTATTTATACTAAACCATGATAAATGACAAATGATTAAATTGCCCATAGACTAATAAAAGACAAATTTTCCTGTAGGTGCCAATCTAATATATTGATGATGATATTTAGGTAAAAGTGACTATTGTGAACCGATTCGTTGAACAAGTAATAATAAAGAGATCAGGTTAAACAGAAGATAGTAAAATTTGTATGGTTCAGCCAAAATAATTCTTTATGTTCATAAGGGAGGAGAGGAATTGATCTACTATTAAATAGCTTATATGTATTTTTTTTTAATATGTAATAGAAATATAAGAACCACACATAGAGATAATAAACTGTTAAATACAAAATCTAAGTCATCATGATTCATACGAGAAGATCCGACCCAAATTCATCTCAGAGCTGACACCATATAAGAACCATTTATAGTCTTCAGGCACATCCTAGCTACTTTTTAAATTTCGTTTTCCGATGTTTAAAGAGCAATAAATTTGAGTAAAAAACCAGAGTTTGACCATAGATTCCAAAATTTTGACCTTATTCTCATCAAAAAAGATAATTCAAATTAATTTGTATTTATTTTTAGAATCATATATTTTAAATTTTGTTATAGATCCCATACAATACTTTTCATCATGTCAATGTAATATGACTCAGTAACAACTATGCATCAATCCTAATATTGATGAGAATATATATGATCATTTTGTGCTTAAAAAAAATAAAAAATTGCTCAGTTTTACTGGTGTTGATATCAATACATGGATTCTGGTTAGCTGATTTTTTGCAATTTTTGCTCCAGGATTTTTCTTGGCAGCGTGTCAAACTATGTTTTGTCAGTTGCATCATGCCCAGTGACAATTGTTAAAGATCCAGACTTTCAACATTAACTCTTCTGCTTCTATGTGCTCTGCGACGAGAAGTCTTTTGAGTGAACTGTTTCTTCTTCTGTTTGGACTTCTGTAATAAGAAGAAATAGACGCGAACAGGATTGATGCTTTATTGCTTACTCTCAGTGAGATATGTGAGACTCTCTTTGCTTTCAGTTGTTTCTATACTTGTCATGAATAACACTGCTGCTATCATATAAAGATTTCTTGACAGTATTTACAGAAGATTTATATGTTTAGATCATGTTTGGATAATTAGCTCCGGACTGTTTGAGTTAAGCTCAGTTTGAAGTAAATTTTATGGTATTCCTTATAATCTTTTTCAGAATTATCAGGCATATTAATTGAAAAATAATCATCATTAGTCTCACAATGAAAAAAAATAATTAAAATTTTGACTGCTTGATTATGGACAAGTTCTTTAATTACTGAATATTAATTATAAGGCTAAGGTTTATCCCTTCAAGTCTTAAGATTGGTCCACATTATCAATTGTATAAGAAAGCAGTTTTAAATAACATCAGCATGAAGATAATTGCCTTAAATATAACTAAGGTTGACATCAAAAGCATAATGATAAAGAACGAGGCAGGATTAGTTGCAATCTATGCACCAATCATAATAATTTTTGGCATAGCGGCCTTATCAGCAGCATCCTTCAATCTTATAATACTAGTAATAGGACCCAGTGCCATGTCACAACAACATAGGGTATAGTTTTAGCCATTGTGACTCTAAAGCAGCACTGCCTCATCGTATATTCATGAGAGGCTTGTAAGGCTTCTATTGGGTTAGTAGGTATGATTTTTATTTTTTACTCAATTGACAATAATTTTGTTTGATTTTAAGCCCCACATTCATTTATATTAAATGAATTTGCATCAAGTGCATCAAAATTCTCTCTCTCTCTCTCTCTCTCTCTCTCTCTCTCTCTCTAAGAGGTCGATTTGGTCTAGCTCCATGGTAGCCAGGTGGACTTAAGAATCTCTAACTAGGCCAAAGTCTACACTTAAATTTTGAACCTGAGCCAAGACGCCAAAAGTTGGAATCCTTAGTCCAAGTTAGGGTAATATTTAGGTCGAGGCTTGAGTCTCCGGTTGAAGTGGCGAGTAACTTTTTGTCGGTAGGAAGCAGCTCTAAGGTGGGCTACATCGCGTGTTTCTGAGAGGACATCCAAATGTTGTTGGAGCTTTTCATTGTTGTCTGAATCGAAAGTCTTAACTCGTGGGTTTGGAACTTTGATATCAATTGAGATGATAGTCTCGGCGCCGAAACACAAGTTATATGAAATTTTTCCAGTTGAAATTTGTGAGGTGGAGCTCTTCAACCAATTACCCCTCAGTTTTCTCAAGACGAGTTTTCAACCCCTTAACCACTATCTGATTCTTCACCTTTGTTTGTTTGTTCATTTGGAATTTCGATATTGTAGTGTGCACTAGATGGATGTAAAGATTCTTGCAGAATGACATGAAGAGCTTTGCAGAATGACGTGAAGACCTTTTCAGAGAATTGAGTCTCATTATCAGTGATACTCTTTGCAGGAAACCCGAAGCGACTGACAATGTTTTTCCAGATAAATTGTTTGGCATTGGCTCAATAATCTTGGCAAACGGTTCCGCTCTACCCACTTTGTGAAATACTCGACAGCTAAGATGATGAATTTTTATTGTTCAGTAGCTATTGGAAATAGTCTATCTACCCCCCCTTGGGTTAAAGGTCAAGAACTCGGAAATGATATGAGTTCTACTAGCTCATGTTCAAAATTTACTGAAAGAGAAGACAACATCTTGCACTATTCCATATGCGCTTCATCAAGTCACCAGATAGAAAATATTGTCCATATTAGATAGCCTACTTTACCTGATCACCCTAACCCAACAAATAGTCCAAGTTAGGGTAATATTTTCTTACCTTTTATTAGTTTGATTGGGTTGCATTTTCTTGATCATATTTATGCATGAATATTTTCATCTAATCTAACAAGACAATGATGGATATATAATAGTCTAAAACACACCAACAAATAAATAAAATAAAATAAAATAAGTACCAAACTCGGGTATGAACCCAAATGATTGACAACATTCTTTAATTATTGTCAATTTATCATGAAAAAAATGCAGCATTTATTGAGAGGACATTATAGCACATGGCACCAAGCCAACTAAGCTTCTATGTTTCTTCATGCACAATTGACCCATCAAACTTTTGAGTTAAATGCATTCCTAAAAAGAGTCTTTTGATAATTGAAAACTATATGATTTGCAAAAAAAAGTTCCCATCCTTGGCTAATAGGTGGTTGGAACAGGCAACATAATGATTAAAGGAGCATGCTGGTGATGTGGAGGATGTTAAAGCTTTGTGATTAGGGTTAAGAAATTGCTTCAAAGTGAAGCATGTGGGTGTTTATGTTAGTTTTACAGCTCAACAAACCTGTCCATATTTTCCACTGGAGCAAAAGTTTGGTATGCAAAATTGTAATACACAAATTTATATGATTTTTCATCTTAATAACTGTTGTATTTCTATGAGTTGAAAATAAGCACCTAAATAAGAGCAACTTTGACTTTAAAAATGGCGAGTCAATCAGATTTAAGTAGGAGTCAACTTTACCTATTTAACTCATGAGCAGACTTAATTGTATGAGTTAACCTTTAATTTAATGTGATTAAATGCACATTTATAAGAAAGAAAATTAATATCATAATTTCCCTCTTTTTCTTATACTTTTGTAAATTTCTCAACTTATTGGGAAACAGGAGGCGGTTATCATGCTTGATTAATTGCGTGAAATTATGTTGAGTAAAAGGGGGATTGGGTTCCACATCAAATAAATATTTTATATTGATTAAAAATCTTGAATTGTATGATACAAAATTATTGAATGTCATACATAGAAAATGTGTCATCAATGATTCCGATGAGATCTGACTATCCAGAAGGAAGGGACAATAGCCCACCTGTAGTAGACCTTGAGGCCAAATTGTCTGATTGAATGTAATAAAGAAAATGCTTGCCAAATCATAAGGACAATCAAATAACCTGAAACGAGGCAAACGATAATCCGAGTCTATCACCAAGATGAAGCCGATTGAGGGGGGAGCTAATCCCTCGTATCCTGCATTTATATCGAGGACATTTGGTTGTCCCCTAAACATTATCAAGAGTAAATGTTTTCAAGTCTCAATCATCCATCAAAATCTTTTCGTAAAAAAATAGCATCCTATTAGATTACGGTGATTCACCTTCTTGGCAATAGTTTGACACTATTTTGTCTATAGGAATCTCTTACCAAAAATCGCTGGTCAAAAACCAAACCAGACCGACCGATCGGTAAAGCTTAGTCGATCGAATCGATCTTGTCAACCCCATACAGATCAAGAACAGCCGACCGGTGGCAATGACATTGCCTAGCTGACACGACCGACCTCAGAATCAATAGTTGGTTTGTAAACTTGTAATATAAAATCAGAATCAATATTGATGGCTCAAATTAATATTAAATCAAATAGATTATAAAAAATAATAATACTTTAAAATTATTCCTATCAAAATGTTAACATTATCTATCTCAAACCAAACAAAACAGATAATATTAAAAATCATTTGAAGCTTACATTTGAACCCTCATCAAAAGTTTAAATTATACATTATAAGGCTTAAGAAACAGCTTTCTGCAATCCCACTTCTTTAAATCTGAAAAAGTGAGCTCAAGCTCAAATTTCTTAGTTCTCTTTCAAGTCATCATCTTAATAAAATAATAAATAAATAAATTTTGAACACAAAGAAGATGGATATAAAATTAAAATATTTTTAATAAATTATTACTTTAATTTTAAAATTTTAATATACTTTTAAATTTATTTTAAGTTGAGGGGAAATTTTAGAATGGATCAACTCAATCATAATATTAGTTTGTTTGGGATTTTTTTTTTAAATTAAGTTCATTTCACATGTTTTTAATATATTTTTTAAAATATATAAAATAATATTTAAATATTTTGAATGTTCTTAAAAACAATATTATTTTAAGCAGATACGTCAAATATTTTATTTTGTTTAGTTAAGAGATTAAATCAGTGTAGAAGGTCCTCAAAGAAGAAAAAATTAGAAGTAATCACAACCGTCTATTCAAGATGGACAGTATGTGATTGCGTTGCCAACTCCCGAGGCCTAAAAAGCTGCATTTCTCCTCTCTCTCTCTCTAGTCTGCGGCCGGCAAAAATGAACTCCTTTTTCTGTAGATCTTGAAACCTCCATTATTTTTCTTTTAGATTTTCAACGTCATGCTTTTTTTCCGCTTTTTTGCAAATATTCCGGCAATGAGAAAGTGAAGGAAAGGACACGAGCAGGTTGACAAAAAATAAAAAAAATAAATAATAATAATAATAAATCAAATGGTCTAAGAGTATGAGAGGGAAGATAAATGAGGCCCAGAGACAGGATTAAGAGATCCACCTATCAAATCAAATGTATTCATTCGAGTCAGAGTAAGCAAGGTCAAAATCAAAAAGATAACTAAATCCATACCATTCGGTTAAAAACGAGACAAAGATATTCATGCCGACCACTATAAGAAGCGGGCCAATTGCAACAACCTATCTTCTGATGATATGAGGAAAGATCTAATTCCTTAATAGCACTAACCATCTTAGGAATGCTCCTGAGGCTCCTCATCAGATATTAAGAGTTAACAATACAATAATTAGTCATATAAACATTCTAAAGCTCTTCTCGTTGAGGAGCAAACTATCTTTCAGTTCAGAGTGATTCACCCTCTGCTCGATAGTGTAATGTTTTTTTGCTGACAAGACCTTCTCACTAGGGAATGAGGGTCGACAACCAAATTAAATCAACCGATCTACAAAGTCTAGTTGATCGAAACAGCTCTATCAGGTCTAAGCCAATCAAGCTCAGCAAACCGACAACACAAGCTTGTCCTAACCTACTGAACTTGGATTACCAGGCTGAAGCCAAGCAAGCTCATCCGATCGAGTCAGAGAATAGTAGAGCAATGGGCTAATACCCGTAAAAAACCTTGAATATATTCTATCATTTTCACTAAAGAAGAGACAAATGTAACAATATATATTGCACTATCTCTCATATAAATAAAGACATGACATAACTTCATATACAAAATTTAAGCAAAATAAAAAAGATCAGAAAATAACCACATAATTGATATGATTTACTATTTTCTCTTCTATCCCTCTCTTTTATCTCTTTTTTCTTTCTTACCACTTTTTTTATTTTGGGAGTCATTGGCGGATAAATTAGGATTCAAAGTTGCAGGGGACGAATCCCAGCGAAGAAAGTCTTGGGAGCAATCATTCATGTCACAAGTCTCTATGCAATCAGATATTTGAATTTCGCCTGGAGTGATAAATTTGTCGTTTTTTTCAAATTTATGAAATTAGCAGAATATTTGATTTAAACTCTAAATCTATCGCAAATTTTGCTCAAATCAAAATCAGAATCAAATATATGATTTCCCTCGCAGCTCAAAAACACAAATATTCAATTTTTTTGGGTTCAAGTCTGCTTTTGAGTAAAAAATACTCAGCCTTGGCCAGCCTCCGGCCACGGAGCCACGAGCTCTTCTTCTACATCACAGTGCTTGTCCTCCTCTTATGGTCCGAACAAGGGACCCACATAAAGCACTGCCTCGTCCTGTTAGCTGCACCCCATTTTCTCTCATGGTTAACTTGAGAGGCCCTTTCATAAGCTTTGCTACCCGTTTATAATTTTGTCGTCAAGAAGCCTTTTTGAGACAGAGCAGCGCTGCTTTGAGTTTGATCTGTTCTTTCTGTGTGTGAAGCAGGAGGTCGACATGGAGAACTTGGTGGAGAAAGATGAGAGCTTTGCTGAAGAACAAGAAGAAGAAGAAGACGCCCGGGTCAGCAGTTGCAGCTCTGAAGCTTCCTCTCCTGAAGATGCTGGAAGTTGCAGTAACGGAGGCTGTGAGGAATCCTTGAAGCATGCAAACTCATTGGGCTGTCCATTGCCCAACACCTCCATTTCAGATCCAGCGAATGAACGCGTTCAAATTGAAAAGATGAAGCCAAAAATTTCTGGTGCTCAATTTAAAACCTCTACTCTTGCTCTTAATATTACTGGTGATTTATGTTTATTAATATTTTGACAGAGTTTGAGATGATGAAAGAGAGGTTTGCAAAACTGTTACTTGGAGAAGATATGTCTGGGTGTGGAAAGGGTGTATGCACTGCTTTGGCGATTTCAAATGCCATTACAAATCTCAGCGGTAACCTGGAGTTTCATAATCCCTGTCTGATACTTGGATTCAGATTATTGATGAAGAAAATATCTTTTTATTTCTGTAAAAAAATTATATTGTTTTCTGTGCTTCCGTAGCTACAATTTTTGGGCAGTTATGGAGGTTGGAGCCAATATCATCTGAGAAGAAATCCATGTGGAGAAGAGAGATGGATTGGCTTCTTTGTGTCAGTGATCACATAGTTGAGCTGATACCATCTTGGCAGATATTTCCTGATGGGAGCAAGCTGGAGGTATTTGCTCTTCTTGTTTCGAATTTTGTGGAACAGAAACTAGGCTGAAAATTAAATATGCATGAATGCTCCAGTCTTTTCTTCAAATCCTAATTTTTTTTCTTTTTTTTTTCAAATGGATTTACTATTTTGCTTCTTTCTTTTTCAGTGCGGGAAGATGGTATTTCCTTGCACTATTGTTTTGCCAATTTTCAAGAGGTTTGATTCATTATTAGGCTAGAATTAGGTATCTATTAAGTTTATAATCCTATTACAAGGTTTTCATTTTGTTTTTACATCATTATAATTAGCCATTCTGACTTCTTAATTTTCCCTCTAGATTTGCATTAACTCTATGTGAAGGTTTTGGAACTTTCATTTTAATTAAAATCAATACATTTTTTTCATCCCAAGCAAGAAAATCTGCAGATTTTGTTCTAACTAGTTGGTTTATACACCTAATCATGAATTCCAACACTGTGCTATACTTGTTGAGTTGGCTGTTAGAAAATTTTGAAATCAGGATTGTGGTAAAGACAGAAAATTTTAAAAAGAAAATTTTAAATAAATTATTTACTTACTTTTATTAAATAATTGTTTTGCCAGTTTTCAAGAGGTTTGATTCATTATTAGGCTAGAATTAGGTATCTATTAAGTTTATAATCCTATTACAAGGTTTTCATTTTGTTTTTACATCATTATAATTAGCCATTCTGACTTCTTAATTTTCCCTCTAGATTTGCATTAACTCTATGTGAAGGTTTTGGAACTTTCATTTTAATTAAAATCAATACATTTTTTTCATCCCAAGCAAGAAAATCTGCAGATTTTGTTCTAACTAGTTGGTTTATACACCTAATCATGAATTCCAACACTGTGCTATACTTGTTGAGTTGGCTGTTAGAAAATTTTGAAATCAGGATTGTGGTAAAGACAGAAAATTTTAAATAAATTATTTAGTTACTTTTATTATATCACTTGTTCTAACCTACAAACTTGAAAAGGTCCTATTTGATCATTTTGTCCCCTACAAAATTTCATTTTTATGATTTGCCTATATATTAATGCAGGTCATGACTTGCAGACAACGATCCGATCTATATATTAATCTTCCAGCATTACGGAAACTTGATAATATGCTACTTGTGAGATCATCTTACCTTTTTCCATCAGTTTTAGATAGTGCTTAAACTGTTCTAATCAAGCTGTACTGGTTTTAGGAACTATTGGATGGTTTCAGTAACCCAGAATTTTGGTATGTTGATCAAGGGATACTAGCCTCAGACACTGATAGCTCAGCTTCTCTTCGAAAGCTTACTCTTCCCCTTCAAGAAGAAAAATGGTGGCTTCCGGTCCCTCGCGTTCCTCCTGGTAGTTTCTCAGAAAATACCAGAAAGGAACTGCAAAACAATCGTGAATGCACAAACCAAATCCTTAAAGCTGCAATGGCTATCAACAGCAATGCCTTGGCTGAAATGGAGATCCCTGATTCCTACATTGATTCTCTTCCAAAGGTGTGTTTTTCTGGGATCCATGGTTTAATTCAGAACTTGGTTTAGGATAGATAATCTTTTATAGAAAAAATTTGCCTCTACTCTTTGAGAGCAGACAGGAAGAGCCAGCCTTGGTGATATAATATACCGTCACATAACCTCAGAGCAATTCTCTCCTGATTGCCTCCTTGCTTGCCTCAACCTTTCTTCTGAGCACCAAACTCTAGAGATTGCCAACAGTGTCGAAGCCGCAATGTATCTATGGCGTCGAAGAACTGCTGCAAGACCTATGCACATGAATTGCACCAAAAATAAACCATCTTGGGGCATGATCAAGGATATGATTGTAGACGTGGATAAAAGAGAGCTTCTTGCTGATAGAGCTGAGAGCTTTCTTCTGTATTTGAAGCAAAGATTCCCTGGCCTCACACAAACAACACTAGATATGAGCAAAATTCAATACAACAAGGTTTTGAATCAATGCCTTCTCTCGTGATTCCTTGTAGAGGTGAAATGTTTCAGCTTCGTGCTTTAAAAATTTCTGTTTTTACAGGATGTTGGGAAGTCCATCTTAGAAAGCTATTCTAGAGTTTTAGAGAGCCTTGCATTTAACATTATAGCTCGTATTGATGATCTACTTCATGCTGATGACATGGCTAAGTATTCAGATCAATTCTCATCAGCTCCTGAAATCAGCATTTCTGTGCATAAGAGCAAGAAAGGAGTACCAATTTCTAGCTCTGGAACTCCATTTTTGACTCCAAGCTTTTCTCCTTCTCTACTTGTTAGCCCTGCAAGAGAGGAAAGGTTGCCCTTCAACCGAAAGAATATTACTTTCGGACTTGGGATGAAGAAAGTTTTGACAGACTACCTTGGCCTAGAAGCTAAGACCATGAAAAAGCAGCAGCTTCACGGCCAATTCTAAGTATAACTTAGCCTCTTAGAAATAGTGTGATGTGTGGAAGAGCTGCTGAAGTTGGAAGGCATTTGGGGCTCAAATTTGTGTCAATATTTCATGGTATTTTGATGAGTGATGCACTTTGCTGTGCTAATTGTTTTATTCTTATTCATTATCATGTTTTGCTTGGAAGGTCCTATGGCATTTTTAAAGTAAAAGCCTTGTTTTGCAAGAATTTCATGGTTCAAATTTGGTATGATTCTCATTATCCTCATCATCATCAGTATTGTTCAAATTATTTGGGATTGGCTAATTTTCTGTAATTCACTCACTGCTTCAAAAGCTAATATATATAACCAAATTACACATTTATCATTGTAAGAGAGTTTATGAAAAGTTAAAGCCTACAAATTTTTTGATGCAAATAGAATGAGATAACATATGTAGGTTGACGAGTTAGAGAATATTGTCATGTAGCCCCTTTAAACAGATAGCCAATCTCGAAAGTTAGAGTGAATTCTAATTGTAAAAGATAAAGAATAATCCTCAGATTTCTCAGAGAGATGATGGTTGCTTAAGGGATCATTGGCCAAGGGAATTTAGGACTTATGGATCAAAGATCATGTGTACTGAAAAATCTTCCTTTATTTAGATATGAAACAAAATATGAGAATTAAAACTCAAATGATAATGCAATAATTGAATAAATGTGAAAAATTCAATAAAAATTTTGAACACAAAAATTAGTAAGCAATTGAACCTTTAGTTATAAAAAATGAAGGGTTCACCGTTGTACAAAAAGATTGAAAATTAGAAACTAGATCATGTGTGTATCTGGAAAACACAAGCAGTCGCATTTGAATCTAAGTTGGAGGAATCACACATCTATCTTGCACACCAAATACCAAAACTTTTTCAAAAAAAAATTTATTGTTTTACAGACTATGAATTGAGACTATACTATGCCTCTAGATTTGCTTAGATTAATAGATATGGTTGGTACAAAAATTAAGCTCCGTTCATCGTCAATTTAAATTTTAAATCTTGAATTATAAACATATTGTGCCAGCCATTATGTTTGGTGTCAACGCATGGAATGATTCAAAGAATAATTAATAAAATCATCCTCAAAATCACTAATATCATCAAACTCAAGAACATATCATAATCATCAACTTAATTATCTTCCCCCACTAATGTTAATATACAAATTGCTAGATTCCTATCGGGGCACTCATTCGCATGATTAACCAATTGGATGAAACTAAACACATGCCTTAGCAACAAACTTAGGGCTAGATACCAATGATTTCCTATAGTTTTCTTATTAATTATAACATTACCACCCTTAAATATAATCGGTGTGCAACCTTAAAATGATTGCTTTGACAAAATAAATTATTCTTAAAAAATGTAATAACTCATTTAGACCCATGAAATTTTATCATTTGCAGAAATTCAAGTCTAAAACAGTCAAAGAAGATGACGAGTCGTCCTCCAGAATCTAAGATGAGAGTGAAACAGCTATTATTCTTACAGGTACCAAAACATATTAAAATTTAGAACGAACATCCAAAATCAACTTTTATAAGTACCCACTCATCAAACATAACCTTACTTGACTTCTTGGAAGATAAAACATACATTAGTTAAGCGGCCTTCCATGCTCCCAACATATTTAAAGTTGGGGCTGAAGACATCATAAATAGATACATTAAAAAGATAAAAATGTCTTGAAAGCAAGATAAACGATCAAACTTCCTGGATAAATAAAAGTAGCAACAGAGTTTGATAAAGGTCCTCTGTTCCACTAGGAGTAGATCCAGATCCTACCTAAATAAGGAGTCATATATTTCCATAAGCCCTCCATGAAACCTGTTGAAGCACAGCCAGTCACCAATTAAAATGATAGTATTGCACCCAAGCCTTAAAATGATATTTAATTGGTAAGAATAAAAAAAAAAATTTTCCAGAAACAAGACTTACAAAAATATACACTTTTGTTTCAAGTAAAATTTCTGAAGCTGTTACAAATATAAATGATGCAATTAATTAAACAAAAGCTATACTCAAATTGCAAGTATATACTACCTAAATGGAGAGCATATATGTTCAGGTACCTTCTTCAATAGTAGAAGGAACCTACAAAATAAAAATGTTCAGCATCAAAAGCTAAGAAGATTATATATTTCAGCTAAACAGCAGCTAAGATTCTCAGTTCTGCAAAGGCCATCCATACCTTGCCACCATTCCCCACGATTAGCCGCATCGGAATTACTACCATCTTCACTGTCATTCTTGTACTGAAATTCAAGTAATATTAACAAAATAATGAAATTATATGAACTTTGGGTTAACTATTAAGAAAAATTTCCCATTAAAGAATAAATATAGATTTTGTCTATGCAATGTATCACCATCCTAAAAACCTTCTAGGATAGTATTGCAATAAAAAAATAGCAATCCTTACATTGTATGTGCTTCCAGATTTGTAGGAAGATGCACTCTCAGGTATTAAGTTATCCCGGCCACCATAAAACACAGATGAGCTCATAGGAAAAGGTTCTGCTATGTCACGGGGTACGTTGGGTTCATTGTTCGTCTTCAACCCCTCCTGGTTCTTACGAGGGCTAGACTGAAAACTGCCACCTGAACACAGATATTTCGAAGTTCAATTTTAAATAATAAAATGTGGCTTTGAGCCAAACAGCTAATAAACAAATTTCTGCATTAAGGAAGTAGACTTAACAGTTGTAAGCGGAGCAAAATATAAAGTGGAAGCAAATGAGGCCTTATGCTTCAAGACAAATAAACTTGATTGAGTTTCTTTGGTTAGGCTTAGACTTTGCAAAAAGAAGATTGAGAAGTTATTCTCTGAATGTTCTTTCAACAAAAGAACTTAGAACTTTTCTAAGCAAATTTCTTTGACAAACTGTTCCAACTTTTTGCTTGTTCAAAAGAACGGATATACTTTGTGGAAGCTAAGAAAGACAAAAGTTCTTTCCCAGCTCAAAAGGGTTTGAATTAAATCACAACAACAGTAAAATTAAAAGAGTACTGAATGAATAAATTAGACTTTTCTCAAAAACAAAAGGTTTGTTTCATTCTGTGATTTACAGAAGTTATTTTAAATGATACCCATTAAAGCATGGAAAGATCTACACAAACTATCCCAACAACAAGCACAAACTAAAAGTTCCTTCTTTTCTTCAAATAGAATAAGAAATAAAACGGTAGCAATTCAGAAGAAAACAACAATAACTTGTATTCAAACTAGGAGGAAGAAAGTCAATATATACTTGAAGCTCCCATCTGTTCGGTCAAACTCAGGCCCTCATTCCCTTGCCTTCTTGCCCTCACTTCCCCTAAGTCACCACGAAATGAATCCTTTCGAGCAACCTATCACCCAAAGATATAAATCCATACTTTCATCAATCTGCATGTGGAACATGAACTTAATAACCGATACAGTGTATTACACTTCTCAACATAGCAATAATCCTAAACCCAAAATAAACATAAGCGATTGATAAACAGCAAATATCGAACATAAGATAGCTGAGAAGTAATACCGGTGATCGTGGAGGGAAGATGGAGCTCAAAATATCGGATTTTGACGGCAAAGCTGCCTCCTTTTCAGGGAAAAACTCGTCAACAAAAGACGATTTCTTTTCTTCCATCTCTACTAACAACAGAGTTACAGCAAAACAACAAAACAAACAAAGAACCGCAGAAACGGTAAAATAGACCAAAAGTCCTCTCCTTTCTTCTTCCCTGCCGTTCCCGATGCCCAAGAAAGAAAACAGAAAGCGATCGGTAAAGAGATGAAAAGCCAGAACACGTGAAGCTTCCTGCGTATCAAGGACTAGGAGGCAGATAAGAGGAGCAGCCGCAGCTCTTTCTTGTAGCCCTCCTTCCAACCCATGTGCCGACATTTAAAGCCTCCTTCCCATCTCTACCCTCACCTCCCTCTCTCTCTCTTTCTCTCTCTCTCTCTCTCTCTCTCTCTCTCTCTCTCCCTCCTATCCTCTATCTTTCTCTCTCTTTCGCTTTCGCCCTCTCTTAATTGGTGCAAAAACTTGTGAATCTCAAAACATCAATTTTTAATGGTAATTTCTCTGCAACGCCAAAGTTTCCTCTCTCGCCTCCGCTTCATCAATTATGGCAACGATTCCTTACTGCTTCTGCCCTTCTCCCTTGAACTCTGCATAAAAATAGGTTTTTTATCGCATTCGGGTTTTATTTATTTATTTTTTTACGGCTTTATTTACTATGAGAGAGCATCGTCGGAAGCCACGTGTCACTTCTAACCGCTTAGAAGGGCCCGTTTCACGTGACCAAAACGACGAGAAACGGCCACAACTTCCTGTGTGAGCACCTTCTCTGCAAACTATCGGATTACGATGGGGAGGTGAATATAATATAAAATAGTTTGTCACAATCATATCCTAAGGAGCCCCTTATTTGAGTGGAGCAAATAAAACTCTGCAAAAAATTTTTATGATTAGTAAAATATTGAAAAATAGATTTAGGTGTAGATTCTTCTGATAAATAATTTATCCAAATAAGATGCTGACTAAACTGTTTGACTTGTACTAAATTGTTTGACTGTTTGGCTTGTGTTGTTGGGAAACAACTGATTTGAAGTTGGTTGTGGATAAATGACCATATGTCTTTGTACAGCAATGTTGTTTGCTACCATTTAGCACCTAGTGGTGATATATCAATATATGAGAAACATTTGCAAAAGCCACCAACTACAGGGTCTCCTCAGCAGCTACTTGAGCAGCCCGATAATTCAAAAACGATACATATATATTATGATTCATATAGAACATAGAAATTTGCTAAAACCCAAGCTAAAGTATCATATGAAGTTCCCTCAGCTTATTAGATCAACAACTTGAAATCCATTCAAAATACCATAAAAGACAAATCACAAACAGACACAGAGAATTACATAAGGAAAGTCAAAAATCTAATGAGGAAAAAATCTCAGGCGTCAATATGTAAAATCTCACAAAAAATTCAAATACATAGAATAAAAAATCACTTAAGGGAAACCACGATTCAATCGACAACCGCATGATTAGACAGAGTCAAAAATCCTGGAAACTTACGGAGAAACATAACTGGAGTATCGAGTGAGAAGGGAAAAGGAAAAGGGCAATGCAAAGGGCGAGAGAGGCGTAGTTGAGGGAGATCGATCTCAGAGCTATGGCAATGAGAGGGATGAGGGATCGAGATTGAAAGGGCAGTGGGGTAATAATCTGTAAAGAAACGCAGATTGCATAGTTGATTTTGTAACCGCGATCCTTCGAAAATAACTCCCGTCTCGCCCGAGCGTTTCCAGATCTACCAACTAAGCACAATTATCAAATAGTCCGTCGGGCGTTTTGAAAACGTGATACGCGTAAATAAGTTGCCCCAAACGGACCCTTAGTAAATTAGTAATGATTACAAAAATGATCGAATAAAGAAAGGAAAACTTATAGACATACCGCCCGATTTTTCTTGTTTAATGTATTTAAAACCAAACTTTGATATTTACCTTTATAACATTTTATTTATGCTCAAAAATTTATATTTCACATTTTAAAATTAATACTAGTAATATTTTTGACATGATGTGAAGGGTTTGGGAGTTATAAATGTAAAAAAAATTAGGTGCTAGAGATTGTTGGATCTCAAATTGTCTTTTCTAAATAAAACCGAGAGTTAGAGTCGAGTGAATGAGAAAATAAAGTGAACCAGGAGTTACTATGGAGAGAACTGGGGGAGTCCAAATGACATCCCTCTCTTTGATCATCTTGTTGTCGCTTATTTATAAGAATATATTTTGTGCTATTACAGAAAGAAAAAACAGCTGCAGAAGTCATTCTTAATGTAATTAATGTTATAATTAATTGTATGAATTTCATTACATATCTATATTATAATTTTAATTTTGATACAAAGACAATTGGTTGATCGACTTCCTTGAAAGCGGCTGAATAAGGAGATCAATTGGACGGCGACCGTGTCTTGTGTTTGGTCAACAAATGCGTTCAGTCAAATGACGATCTCGTCCACCGAGGTAAAAGCAGGTCGGTCATTCAATCACGATCAAGGGGTTTCTACCTGTGCTTTGGTTGCTTGACGGATGAGTCAATTTGTTTTTTTGTTGGGTGAACAGTGACTCACTTGTCGCATTGTCTCAAGTCTTACGGGGCCTATGTCTCGTCTACCTTATTGGTTTGTCGCCTCAGTCGGATACCCCTATTTACAAGGTCTTAGGCGGAACTTGTTGCTGCCTATGTGAGGTATCTGATTAGACTTATCGTTAAGATGTGTTACGCCTCGCCCTTGACGGATCTTGTTGCTATCAGGCAAGGGACCATCTCCAAAGCATTGACTGTCCCGGGTTTAGAGACTCGGGTTCACCTGCTTGCCTATGACTTGTCGGTCGGTTGTCTACCTTTTGGGGAATTTTTTTATTTTTGGTCGTTCGTTCTTTTTGAGATTCGTGCTGGTAGCACTAGTCAATACATACTAGTTCCACGATTTTTTCAACTTTTTGATGGCGACAACTGCAATAAGACAAAGAAATTAACTTAATTGTGTCACAGAAATCAAGAAAATTTAATGGTTAGTTCTTAAAAAAATGGTGCTTCATTTACTAATTTGCTTTATTAAGGTGATCATTTATATAATTTAACCTCTTAAATTCATATTTTTACTTATATGAGAGGATAATCGGTATTTTGGCTCACTCGAAATTTTGTTTTGTCCATTCTAAAGTATCACTTTATCTTTCGTTGTCTTAACCTCTTCTACGCTGGGTTTATGAGACAGTTTACCCACTCCAAATTGTCCTACCCCTGTTCACATGAAGAATGTAATTTTTTAACCCCTAAATTTAAAAAAAAAAAAAATACTATATATAGAAGTACGGTTGAGGGAAAAAAAGAATTTGACAGAATCAAAATTTAAGAGAATGAGATGGAGAAATAAAAAATAAAAAAAATGAAAAGTATTTAAATTTAAATTTGTTTATTTCCTTAAATTTCTTAAAAAGTATTATAAATATTGATTCTAAATTAAAAAAAAATATAATGAATATTAAATTATTAATAACTATTTGAGTTTAACGGTGACCAAATTTTAGTACGTAAATGCCTTTATATGTTGTTCCAAATTTTAGTAAAAAATAAAAAATGTGCAGATTTTATAATGTTTATAAGAGATAAATATCCCTTTTATGGGAGTGATACAGACAAATATATACATGCAGCTAAGACTCACATATTCTTGTCCTACCTCCATTAAAATATTACTATATTTAACACAATTATAAGACGTAGGGATAAGCTGTTACCAAAAAAATCATTACATATAAAATGTTCCACAAAGTTCTGATTGTTGTGCGGAGCCCCGCACAATTGAAACAAAAAAAAGTTGTGCGGAGCCCCCATTTTTCGCAAATCAGTTTCCCGTCTCCACCTCCTGCAGTTCACGAAAACTGTTCACCTCGTCTCCCCCCTCTCCACCTTTCTTGTTTGCGAAACAGAAGTTCGACGATTTTTCTCCCTTGCTCGTTGCAGTTCGCTCACGTTCATGAAACAAAAAAGGAGATTTATCCTTGAATTCTTCTTGAGGCTTACGAAAAACAGAAGGCAAAAAAATATGTGTTTTTTGCAAGGTGCTCTCACTTAGTTGTTTCCGGGTGCTTGGCAGAAGGAAGAAGAAGATAGTGGAAGAAAAATGTTGCTCTCCTTGATTTCTTCTTGGTAAATTGTAGCAGAAGAGGAATATGTTTTTCTTTTGTATGTTTTTTTCTTCTTCGGTATATCTTGGTGTAGAGAGAAGAGAGAAAATGTGAGAGAAGTAGTTCGCTCTTGTAATTGGAGAAGATCCACTGGTGTAAATTCCTCAATTAGTAAAATCCTCTGCAACTCTGTGGATGTAGGCAATTTGTCGAACCACATAAATCTGGTTGTTCTCTTTGTGTGATTTTTCTTGTTCTATTTTTTGTTTTGCCATCGATCGTTTTAAATTTTCAATATACCACAACAACTGGTATCAGAGCCAATGACTGCGGACGAAGTGAAGGTTTCAGGGATCGAGAAGTTCGATGACACAAATTTTGGTTACTGGAGGATCCAGATAGAAGATTACCTCTATGAGAAGAAACTTCATCTTCCGTTGTTAGGGAAAAGACCTAAAAGAATGGATGAAGTTGAATGGAATCTATTGGATCGACAGGTTCTGAGGGTTATTCAATTGACCCTATCGAGGTTCGTTGCACACAACGTCGTCAAGGAGATGATGACTGCAGATCTTATGACAGGTCTGTCAGGTATGTATGAAAAGCCATCGATGAATAATAAGATATTTCTGATGAAGAAGTTATTCAATTTGAAGATGGCGGAAGGTACGTCTGTTGTACAACACCTGAATGATTTTAATACTATCACAAATCAATTATCTTCTATAGAAATTGAATTTGATGATGATAGCTGAGAAACTATGAGGATGACTGTCAGTAATTCTGCAGATAAATCAAAATTGAAATTTGGAGATATTTGTGATTTGATTTTGGCTGAGGAGGTGCGTAGATAGAAATGCGTAGAAAAGATTCTGACAAGATCTCAAGTTCGAGTTCGGCATTAAATGTTGATTCCAGATGGAGATCACATAACAGGAACTCAAATAGGGGAAGATCAAAATCAAAGAACAGAAGTAGGAACAAGTCAAGACATGATAAACAAGTAACTTGCTGGAATTGTGGCAAAACTGGTCACATTGGAGGAACTGCAGGAATCCTAAGAAGAAGGAGAATGACAGTGTGAATGTGTTAACTGAAGAATCACAGGATGCACTATTACTGGCAGTTCATAGTCTTGTTAATGACTAGGTACTGGATTCATAAGCTTCTTTCCATACAACTTTCAATCAGAAATTAATGCAGAATTATGTTGCAGGTGATTTTGAGAAAGTATATTTGACAGATGGAGAAGCTCTGAACATGGTAGGAATGGGAGATATTGACATTGCACTTCCAAACTGACATTGCACTTCCATATTGACATTGCACTTCCAAACAAGAACAAGTGGACTCTGCAAAAGGTCATATACGTTCCTGAACTGAAGAACATCATTTTTGTTGGGCAGCTTGATGAGTGTGGACATTCAGTACTGTTCTCATATAGCACTTGGAAGGTTATTAAAGGAGCACTG